GGAGGACGGCGGAGAGAGGGAGTGGGGAATGAGGGAATGAGGATGAGTGTGGAATTGTCGAGAGGCAGAGGGTGGAGGAAGTGGGAGAGGAGTGGGAGAGTGGGGAAGGGTAGAGGGAAGGGAGGGCAGAATGAGGGGGAGAAAGTGAGAGGGAAGACGGGAGAAGGGAGGGCAGGAGGAGAAACAAAGAAAACATTATGTTGGGTAAAATTAGAAAATAGGAATTGTAAAAAAAGGCCTGACACATTAAAAACATTGTTGGAATAAGAAGAACCCGAAGAAGAGCTTTGTCAAAAACTAGGTATTTTCTATTTTTGCCTGTCTGACTTAGTCAATACTGGCAGCACCATGACGATGAGTGGGCAGTGCAAGGTTTTGCCTCCAGGTTGGGGGGAATACCTTGCAGTTTCTAATTTTACCCAACACAAACTCAGAGTTAGGCAATATTGGCTCAAGAAAGAGCACTCTGTTTTGCTCTCTTCGGAGTCGAGAGTAGTCTTTCATCTTGCATTATTGTTCGCTGTTGACAGTTGAGGCCCTGCCTTTCTTTGTGGCTATCCCACCAACCATCATCATCGTCTGTGCCTTTCTTTGTGGCTATCCCACCAACCATCATTATCATCTGTGCCTCTCTCTGTGAAATTCCACCAACCATCATCATCATCTGTGTCTTTCTTTGTGGTTATTCCACCAACCATCATCATCTGTGCCTTCCTTTGTGAAATTCCACCAACCATCATCATCATCTGTGCCTTTCTTTGTGAAATTCCATCAACCATCATCATCATCTGTGCCTCTCTCTGTGAAATTCCACCAACCATCATCATCATCTATGCCTTTCTTTGTGAAATTCCATCAACCATCATCATCATCTGTGCCTTTCTTTGTGAAATTCCACCAACCATCATAATCATCTGTGCCTTTCTTTGTGAAATTCCACCAACCATCATCATCATCTGTGCCTTTCTTTGTGAAATTCCATCAACCATCATCATGATCTGTGTCTTTCTTTGTGAAATTCCACCAACCATCATCATCATCTGTGCCTTTCTTTG